GGCTGTCACCGAGTAAGTAATTCCCTTATCGAATCTCGTCTGTGGAAATTCTTCGCGAGCAAACGAAACTCAAGTACGCGTGTTCGCAAAGACGGAGGGAAAGCAAACGTTACGAATAATATCTGGTCGAAGAGAAGTCTAATAGTTGTATGGTTTTAAATTTCCTGACCTTCGTGTCGAGTGAAATGAATTTTTCAAGAGAAAGTAATTTCCCTGGGACCTAGCGAGAGCTGAACAAATAGGAATTTAATACTCGAGTTGCATAAACTTCGCTTTCATGTCATCGACGAATTAACCGGCGAACTATGATTTGTTTGGAATTATTGAAAAATTTGCTTCGGTTAGGACGGAAAACTGTAGGAAATGAAAATCTTTCCATCGCAAGTGAGAGGGAACAGTCGCGTTAAGTTTATAATGCGATTCACTTCGAGGTGAAACTAGTTTTGTAGCAGTATGTATATGTATATCGAGGAACGTCTCTAATGAAATGAAAAGTTTGTTCGCTGCTAGATACCGACGAACTCAGACTCGACCGAGCCTGTGGACATTCCGACTTTTCCTCCTAAGAAAAATAAAAATCGGATGCGTTCGTCCGATAGAAATTTATCAAATAAAGCATCGAATAGTAAGTTTCACATAGAATCTACATCGTCTTATCTGTTTTCTTCCGGGGAATAAAAAGATCTTTGTTTGCTTTGAACGACTTATTAGCTATTACGAGTTGGTACAGGTGTGTATTTAAGGAGAGTTTAACTACGCCATAAGGGGAACGCGATTTCCTAAGCGATTCCAAACGGTGTAAAACGCAGCCAGCGCACAAGCTTTCGCAGATTTAGAAAGCGTCATAGATATGACATAGTACATACTATACTGGCGCCTTTCTCCGATAAATTTCCGCATCTTCGAATTTCACATCTACGCAACCTCTGGAAATTCTTTACAGAAAATTTACGTCGAATAAAGTTTAAAAATTGAGCCTTAAAACAGCGAAAGAGAAGTTTACGATCTACGACTTAATCACATTATCAGTATTATTATTTCGTAAATTATACATAAAAGAGCTGTGGTATGTCATTGGCTGTTTTAGATAAATATTGACACACCTGGTGAAAATTCCCCGATGAAAATACTCGGAAGCACTCGATATGTAATTTAATCCTATACGCAAGAATCAACGTTCAATTACGCAACCAGCAACTCTTTCGTTTCGTGTTTCAAGCTCGATGTTTCGTTTCGTCGTCGAAAGCTGACGGTGCTTGATCTTTATATCGCGAATTTATTTCTTCGTACTTCCGTCAGAGTTGCTCGTTGACCCTCTCGGCATCTTGCTCCTTTTTCTCGAGATTTTTCATTGAACGAAAGTCGAAGAAACGCGGCATGCCACCACGGCCTGGCAGGGGTAACGAGCGGAGGGGTTGAGGAGGCACGAAAAGGGTGAACGAAGGGACGAAAGCGAGGGCTCGGCGCGTGCGCGCTGACGCAACAATATGGTGAATTCTGCGAGGTAGCCCAGTATCCACCCGACCATCAGCTGATCAATATACTTCCGCACACACGCCACGTCATACGCGCGACACACGCATGTCACGCATCGTGCGAACCGTTACGCGTGTAACACTCTGTGAACGTGTGAACGTGCACAAACGGCTGTGCACGCGGCCATCGGGCCCGGGACGTATCCAGCAACGGCGAAACTCCATCAGGAACACGGGAACGCGCGGTGAAGCAGCGTACGCAAAAGGTACGTCTCGAAATCTGCGGTCTTCTCGTTCTCATTTTCGCTTCCGATTGCTTTTCCATGGAAAGTAGGACTGAGAAACCTTTTAGTAGTTAGAGACAATACGTCGACGATTTCCGATGATCCAATTCGGTGGACATTTTTTTTTACCACGAGTCAAGAGATAGACACGTATCGTGGAACCGTGAAATCGGATTTGTCGTTTCTTTTGCTTCGACATGGTCGAGAAATTAAATGGAAGGATGGATTCGTTTCGTTAACGTTCCTGGTGAGTGGTGAGCGATGCGTGGTGGTTTTTGGGGGGCTCGTTGGAACGTCCTCTTCGTTCGGACGATCTCGATAGGAAAGAATTTGTTTTCCGTTTATCGATCGGTTTACTCGGCTCTCTGTTCATCGGACAAAATTGTTTGATCGATCGAAGGAAAGCGGATGTTAGGCGATACGGTGTTGGGACTATTTCCCTTTTCGCGCTGGCTATCCGAGATATAAATTTCAATTGCTATTTCTCCTAACTTCCTATACTCTTGCTCGAAATTGGACAAATTTTTGTATCGTAGCGCCAATTACTTTATACGCGTTTCTCGCTTCGCTAAGAAATGACAGGCAAGCAGTCGATACGGATAAAAAAAGTCGTCCCCACTAGCGACAATGTTGGTTCGATAAGAAGCTATGAGTCACGTTTCGTGTTTCATATCTAGCCAGGCTGATCGATTATCGGTTGGTCGCGAATTT